ATTTACCGAGGAAAGCAGGAGTACATTTTGAAATAACCAGCCCGTTATTTAGAAATAACAGGCTTTGTAGTGTGGACGCTCTGCTTATTATTTCAAAATAAGAGGGGTTACTTTGAAATATCTCGCTAGTGTAAACCAGGGCAAAGGGACTACGATCCAATCCCCTCCCCTCCACGCAGGGCTACATACCGTAATAACTAGACTATTCCAGACTAGTGTTTGTCTAACCTGTTCTTAAAAACCTCCAATAATGGAGATTCAGCAACCTCCCTAGGCAATTTGCTCCAATGCTTAATTAGACATTAGACAAAAACTTCCTAACCAAAAACTCCCTTGCTGCAGTTTAAGTCTATTACTTCTTGTCCTATCCTCAATGGTTCAGGAAAACAATTTGTCATCCTCCTCCTTGTAACAATTTTGATGTACTTGAAAATTGTTATAGCATCCTCCCCCCAATCTTCTCTTCTGCAGACAGAACATTTTCCGCAAAAACAGCTGCTTTTGCGGAAAAACTTGCCAGCTGTCTACACTGGCTGCTTGAATTTCCGTAAGAACACTGACGATCTCATGTAAGATTGTCAGTGTTCTTACTGAAATACTATGCTGCTCCCGTTCGGGCAAAAGCCCTCTTGCGCAAATGCTTTTGCGCAAGAGGGCCAGTGTAGACAACGCGGTATTATTTTGCTCAATAAAGCACCGATTGTGAAAATGGCGATCGGGGCTTTCTTGCGCAAAACCGTGTCTAGATTTGGTACGGATGCTTTTCGTGCCATCTAGATGCTCTTTTCCGCAAATGCTTTTAACGGAAAAACTTTTCCATTAAAAGCATTTGTGGAAAATCATGCCAGTCTAGACTTAGCCAGAGGTTTTTTTCCCAATTTTTTCTCATAGCTCATGTCTTCTAGACCTTTAATCAGTTTTGTTGCTGTCTGGATTTTTTTTCAGTTTGTCCACATCTTTCTTGAAAAGCGGTGCCCAGAATTGGACACACTACTCCAGTGGAGGCCTAATCATCACAGTTAACTCTTCCTTTCAAGCTGTCGTGGTCAATATTTTATACATCTGTCATACCTATGAAGCCTAAGGAAAAAAAGAGAATTTCCAGATAACTTACATGGGCCAGAGGTGGGGTAAATCAGCCTACCTGCATTGACTTTGATGGACCTGCCACCAGCTGAATATCTGAGTTTCTTGTGTTTCAACTCCTTCTAGTCCTACCTCCTTATAATTGTTTCTTACAGGGCTATCTATAGGATTTATGGGGCCCTATGCAGTATTAGTAAACCTGTGCTCCTATGCCTGGTGGCAGCTGGAGAGGGGACAATGATTTTTTTAGAGATGTGATTTTATAATCTTCAGCAACACATTAATGAAACATTTTCAAAACTCATTTTAAAGTACGGTCCTGCCGACTATCACAGTCCATTTGGAAACCAGCAGTATATACCTGGGGCTGGCAAATGCCTGTGAGATGGCTTCATTACCACTTGAATGGCTCTCACAAGTTCAGTGTCTGCTAATAGCTCTGGCTGGCTTTGTCACTTTTAAGTTAACTAGATCCTCTGCGGAGGAAGCAGAGTCACAGAGCAGTGATGGGAAGAGGTGGGTGGGTCGACAGTAAGACCTAGTGGTGCCACACATTTTTGAGTGCTCTGCATGGCTCCATATTCTGCGTATGAGTAAGGACAGCCCTGGTTTCTTAATCATGCAAGACATTGGGCTTCCTTGTTTCTCACAAACACCAGCAAAAGTCACATCTGAATCAGCGTACTCCCACAGCACTACTGGGCGTGGAACAGTCATGTGAAAGGCTTCTGGGGGACGATTCTGCTACCAACACCAAGTAGCTGCTGACTTGAACACTCCTATTCAAGTGTCTTAGAACGTGGATGTTTTCACCTATGTTGTGCTAAAACCCGCTGAGGAGAAACCTCTACCCCGAGATGTGAGTTCTTGTTTAAAATGCTTGGGCCAAATTCTGACTTCTTCCTTTCCACCTCCCCTCAGCTGGAATAGGGGTATGTCTAGACTGCACTCTAAAATCGAAATAAGATATTCAATTTGCGTATCTTATTTCGATTTTATTTTGAAATTTGATGTCTACTCGGCGCCACATTTTGAAATAAAGCTCTATTTCGAGACATCCCTTATTCCTCGTGGACTATGGTTTACAGGGATGTTGAAATAGCGTGCCCATTAGTTCAAAAATTATTTCAAAATAGAGGACGTGTTGCTTGGATGAGGGGTAGCTATTTCAGGATACTTTCGGTATCTGGAAATAGCCTTTCAGTCTAGATGTATCCTAAGTGAGGGAGGCTCTTTGTAGCCTTTGATTATGTTAATTCATAGGTTTTAGGCTCCTCTTGATTTAAACAGAAAAAATAGGTGCATAAAAACTGGGCTCTGAGAGACTATGAATAAGTTGTCTGTGGAATCTTCACAGCTGAAAAAGCAAGTTCCAGCTGTGGGTTTGCATGGAGTACTCAGAAAGGCAGAGGGCAGAACACAGCCTTGTTAGGAGATGGCAGTTACAGCCAGAAAGAGTAAATCCTATCCCTAAATATCAAAATCCTAAATGAGAATTTCTTTCCCAGATCTCTGAGTCATTTATAGTTAAAACTGAAAAAGTTCTTTCCGCAGAACCCCTTTGGTTATTTTTTTGGTTTGGTTTTTTTTTTTTTGGTCACAATCAGATTTGGTGCCATTAAAAAAATTGTGTTGATTCTGCTGAATAATTCATTTCTTCTTGTCTTCTTCCTCCCTCCCGCCCTTCAAAAGTGTTTACTGGACACTTTTGAAAAGAAATATTTCAATTGGAAATGAACTTTGTTTCTTGACATTTTAAATTTTCACAAAATAAAAGTTACTTTTTCAAATGGTTGAAATTGAAGTGCTCGTTCTGCCCAAACCAGTATTTTCTTTTCAGAATTGCCAGCAAATGCCAGCTCTGCTCTCAGTAACTTTCAATGGAAGATCTCAATGTTTTGCAAAGCTTCTAGAGACTATTATTTGATTTTTATGGATGGGTAAATAGAGACACTGAAAAGTGAAGGGACAGTGGTAGTTAGGGACCTAGGCATTTAGGAAATTTCCTCAAGATGCTCATCAACCTGTTTAGATGCCTAAATATTTTTAATGATCTGCTCTCAAGAGACTTGTTCGAGGTCACACAGTGAGCAGGTGGGAAGGGCTGAGATGAGAGTCCATCTGTCCAGACACTGTGACCTGTGCTGTGCCTCACGTAGCTAACTCATTATTCCAGGAAAGGAGCCAAACCTTGTTAATTCTCACTGGGTGAGATTCACCCCTCCAGCAGAGGGCTGGAACAAGACAGCGCACCACTTACATCCTCCAACCAGGATTTAAGTGATTCTTAAGCCAGGGGCGCTCACCCATGAATCCCACCCACTTGCTAAATTACAGCCTTAGCGATTCCACACACAACCTCGCTGAGAGAGACTGCTGGGCTAACAGCATTCCAGAGAGTTCTCCTCTTGCGCAGACTTCATTATCTATGTAAATTACGCCACGGTCCACTGCACTGCTCACCCTCTATCCTGGTAAACCCCCAGCTATCAGAATAAATGAATATACATTTTGTGATGCAATATGTTTTGGCTTTTTGGTTAAATCAGATTTGTTCTCTAGGGGTACGTCTAGACTACAGGCTTTTGTCGACAGAAGTTTTGTCGACAGTATCTGTCGACACAGAGCGTCTACACTACATTCAGTTCTGTCGACAAAGCAAGCTGCTTTGTCGACATGGTAGTGTAGACGCAAAGGACAGTTTACATGCAATAACACCTTCTGTTGACAGAAACTCTGTCGACAGAAGGTGTTATGCCTCGTAAAATGAGGTTTACCAGCGTCGACAAAACTGCTGAGTTCTGTCGACGTTATGTCAACAGAACTCAGCGGTAGTGTAGACGCAGGTATAGTTTTGTCGACAAAAGTCCACTTTTGTCGACAAAACTCTGTAGTCTAGACACACCCTGGGTGTTAACTCCATGCGATGCCGTAGATCTCCCATTCATTACTGTTTGTGTTGCAGTGACACCTGGCAGACCCTGCTGTGCTAGGTGCTGTACAAACCCAGAACTAAAAAGCAGTCCTTCCCCAAAAGAGCTCATTAGGGTGACCGAATGAGGTTCTACTGTAACTTGCTGGCCTCAAAAGGTAGGATTGCCAAAGAAACCTAGCTCAGTTAAGCACCTGGCTCCCAAATGGAGTTTCTAATCCCTTAGTTTTCTCTGACAATCCCAAACCAGTGGACAGGTAGGGTGAATCAAGCTGATATCTGAAGTTGTGGATATCTATAAACGGTTCGCCGAACCGTGGTGAGCCCCGCTCACCAGCCGTGCTGTCCAGCGATCTGCGCATGCACAGATCGCCCGAACCCGGCTCTTCTGGGTTACAATCTACTCGCCATGGGCGAGTAGATTGTATTATTTGTCGAGCCCTGTCTATAAATATCCAAATGTGGTAAGTATCGCCGATAATTGTTTGCCCACAGTAACTCAGAAGTTAGTAAGCTTCAGGCGGTAGCTGAGTTAGTCTGTACAGGATAAACTAACAAATGGTCTGGTAGTACTTTAACGACTAACAAAACATGTAGATGGTATCATGAGCTTTTGTGGGCACAGCCCACTTCTTCAGATGACCAGAGTTTTGAGTTTAGGATGTGCAGACCCAAAATATTCATCATACCATCTACATATTTTGTTAGTCTATAAAGTGCTACCAGACCATTTGTTGTTTTTTAAGTTAATCAGAAGTTAGTGGTTGTCTCAAAGGTGAAGGTAACCCCTGGTAACAACAATGTTGGTGTACAGTTACTGCCTCCTCGAAGAATGAATCAGTTATATTATTTCCTTTAGTGTCAGGCGGAACCATCCCCATTAGCATCAATCACCTTTAGACAGAGGCAGAGAGAGCAAATTCTGTCAATTATTTGCTAGGACATTTCCTTTTTTGTCAACACCCCCTCCTTTTTATTGCAGATAAGCATCTGTTTGGGGACCTTGAACTTCAAATATTAACTGAACACCATGGCGAAGGTGAGTGCGTTTGCTCCCAGGTACCATGCGGTGCCAGGCAGCCTCAGTGCCCACACTGGGACATTTATCTGATCAGTGCAAGGATATTTACTTTGGAAAATGATGGAGCAGGAAGAGGCTAGCACTTTCTGACACTGAGAAGTACCATTGCACCTTTCTCATACAGGAATGTGGATTATCTATGTAATCTGTAATCTGTGTATGGCCTGGTCTCACACCAAAATCAATGAGCTTTGCTATTGACTCATAGAAATTTAGGGCTGAAAAGGACAATCGAGGGGGGGGGTCACATAGTCCTATGACAATGTACAAAAGAACATAAAAATGTCCACAGACAAAAGGTTCATCCAGACCAATATCCTGTCTGCCAACAGTGGCCAATGCTAGATGTCCCAGAGGGAGTGAACCGAACAGGTAGTGATCAAGCGATCTCTCTCCTGCCTTCCATCTCCATCCTCTGACAAACAGAGGCTGGGGACGCCATTTCTTACCCATACTGGCTAATAACCATTAATGGACTTAACCTCCATGAATTTATCTAGTTCTCTTTTAAACCCTGTTATTGTCCTAGCTTTCACAACCTCCTCAGGCAACTACCTCCGCTCCAGCTCTGCAGTTTAAAAGAGCTGGGCTGCCTGCGCACCCAGTTCCTACTACATTTAAACTGCAGAACCACAACGGGGCCCCTTATAGACTAATTGTGTAGTCCAGTGTTTCTCCACCAGTGGTATGAGTACCCTTAGGGGTACTTGAGAGAAGTTTGGGGGGTATATCAACACAACCGAAACTTGGAGAAAACTGAATTTTTGTTTTAAGTTTTACAGCGCTTTATTATTTTTGTACTTTATATACCCAAAAATGTCATTGCCCACCTGGCTACCATTAAGTTGATTATACAAATGTGTTGCAATAGCAGAAAAAAAGTGTTGTGTGTCTGAGGGCAATAAGATATTCTCCATCTTACCATCTATCCCTTTTTTAATGATTCCTAACATCCTGCTGCACACTGCGTGGACGTTTTCAGAGAACTATTCACGATGACTCCAATATCTCTTTCCTGATTAGTTGTAGCTAAATTAGTCCCCATCATATTGTATGTATAGTTGGGGTTATTTTTTCCAATGTGCATTACTTTACATTTATCCACATTAAATTTCATTTGACATTTTGTTGCCCAATCACTTAGTTTTGTGAAATCTTTTTGAAGTTCTTCACAGTCTGCTTTGGTCTTAAGTACCTTAAGCAGTTTAGTATCGTCTGCAAACTTTGCAACCTCACTGCTTACCCCTTTCTCCAGATCATTTATGAATAAGTTGAATAGGATTGGTCCCAGGACTGACCCTTGGGGAACACCACTAGTTACCCCTCTCCACTCTGAAAATTTACCATTTATTCCTACCCTTTGTTTCCTGTCTTTTAACCAGTTCTCAATCCACATAAGGATCTTCCTTCTTATCCCATGGAACAACTGGTTCCTAAGCGTTCTACAGTGCCCATACACCTTGTCTTCAGCTATCCACGGAAAATGCTTAAATGGTTCTTGCTCCTCCTGCCATATACTGTAGTTTCTGATGAAGCATTAAAGCCCAGATCTGCAAATGAATTTAGGCACCTGATTTCTCTTGATCTCAGAATGAGTTAGGTGCCTAAATACTTCTGAGGATGTGTGCCTAATGGCCTTATGCATTGTGCACTGAAGTTAATGGAAAGACTCTTATTCAGTGGGGACAGAAGCAGCTGCTTCGCACAGGCAGTGTGAGCCAGTAGATCTATCCCTGGATTGTGTGTCAAGATCCAGGTTCTAACCCTTGCCCTCTGTGACATGTTGAAGTCACTGCACCTGTGCCTCTGTTTCCCCACCTGTCAAATGGAAAGGATGGGATTTGCTCACTTTTGTGGAAGTGCCATGTGGGAGCCCACGAAAGGATGGGATTTGCTCACTTTTGTGGAAGTGTCATGTGGGAACTCAGAGGAATAGATTCTTTCATGATTCTGTGGACTACTAGAGATACTAAAAGGAAGAAGCCAAAACTAGATTTAACGAAGGCGCCCAATTGGCAGGCCAGAAGAATGGAATCCTTATCGAATTGCACAGGTACAGAGCAGGTAGCAGCCAGGTTTGCTTCATCCCATGCCAGTGTGGTTTAATCCTCACTCGGAAGGGAGGCCCGCACTAGGAGTGTCTCTCTGGCAGGTGGAGCTGACAGTTTAGGGCCAAATGGGAGCTTGTATCTGCAGTCAAAAACGCTAACAGAGTTGGGAACCATTAGGAAAGGGATAGAGAATACGACAGGAAGTACAATAATGTCACCGTATGAATCTACGGCACGGCCATACCTTGAGTATTGCATGCAGTTCTGATCACTCCATCTCAGAAAAGATAAGAAATGGAAAAGGTATAGAAAAGGACGACAGAAAAGATTAGGGGTCTACAGAATTGTGAATGGCGTAGAGAAAGTGTGCAAGGAAGTGTTATTGAGCCTTTCATGTAGCACAAGAACCAGAGCTCACCTAATGAAATTAATGGGCATGATGTTTAAAAACAAAGATAAGGAAGTGTTTTACAATGCAATACATGGTTAACCTGTGGAACTCATTGCTAGGCGATGTAAAAGGAAAAATGTAACTCAGTTAAAAAAAGAATTAGATAAGTTAACAGAGGCTTGGTCCGTCAGTGGCTATTATGCAAGATAGTCAGAGATGCAACCCCATGTTCTGCGTGTTCCCAAACCTCTGGCTGCCAGAAACAGCAGCTGAGTGACAGGGGAGGGATCACTTGATAACTGCCTGAGCTGTGCATTTATTCTGGGGCATCTGTCATTCTCCACTGTCACAGGACGGGTTACTAGGTCAGGTGGACAATTAGTCTGACACACTAAGTGGCCAGAGTGGATCTTGCTGTATCTAAGTGGCTGTCTCCAGCAGCCTATCTAAACACAAACCTGTTCCTCAGTTTTGTCATAGTTGTGTGTGGGGGTGGGGAGGATCGACATCTGTGTTCTTCTCTGGGTTTGTCTTTAACCATTGCTGCTCTGTGTATTTAGACTGGAAACCGGGGCACAATCAAGCCGGCCTTGGGATTCAGTCCTGAGGAAGATGCACAGAAACTAAGGAAAGCCATGAAGGGCCTTGGTGAGTTTGCATTTATTGTTACGACTCTAACGCTCTTGCACCGGCACGCCAGTTTCCTGCGCACCGCGCAGCTCCCTCCAGCAGTAACTTGTGCTTCTCTGCTGACCCCCCTGCCCATGCCGGAGGTCATGATCAGCCCATTCCTAACAAGGGGGTGCTAAAGAGATTCTTAAGCGTTGAGCCCGGGGGGGGGGGGGGGGG